ATCATGTCTGAGTTCAATACGCCAATCGGGGATGGCACGATAGAGGAGGATGCTTCTAACAGTATGCTCTAACTTTCTAGTGTCGATGAGTACCGTGACCCGTAATCACGAAATTTCAATGGGGTTCGACTGCTGAGTAGGATATTATCTCGCTTGTAGGTATTGTTCCCATGCCTCATCGGCACTTAGCCGTGTTGGGTGTGCGTTCATGCCGCTCATCGAGCCTCTCTTGGACGCCTATTTGCAGCAGTATATATGTAAAGTGTGTTTGGAACAGATTGCTATGGAGGACTTCAACTTGGAGATGCAAAAGTATTTGGGTCTTTCCCTTCATCCATTGCGATAAGTCTCGCTGTTTTACTTGTTGCTGTCCAGAGTCGTCACTAAACTGACGAAGGTGAGAAGAAGAGTGGTGGTATTGTGATCAGGTATCACTGGTTACCGTCCACGGCGTTGATCCAAGGCCCCGATGACTATGACTTGTCTAGTGTGGGTGACAGTGACAAAGCGTCTTTGACTGTTTATCTCACACGCCACCGACCACTTGCGGTCTTCTTCAATGACGTTACTACAGCGATGAACGAACTTCGACAGTGCCCTGCTTCGAGTGTCGCAGAACCTGTTGCAAGGTACGCTCAGCGTCTTAATGGATTTTTCTTCTAGAAAAACTTCTAGACATACTCAAGTCGCATTGTGGCATTTAGCCAGCGTGTCCCTTTTTTGCATTCGTCACTTCGCAGCGAATGAGCATGTTATACTCGGGAACAGATTCAAAAAGCTTTTGCAGGATAGTGTTGTTGGTTTTAGGTCCCTGAGTAGTTGCTTGAGTGAAGTTGCACGATCGTTGCGCGACTTGAAGGGGACTATAGCGTCTACAGACGAGCCGGGTGAGTTGTCCTGTACTGTTGTCTTGGAGAAAATATTGGGTTCAGAGCTTCGTCGAATGACACGCCACTTTGCCGATATCGTCGTTCCCGTGGTGGCTGACATGTATTCAAAAATTTACGGTGATGTTGCACAGCATTATTTACCGCTTATCAGTACTGAAGTAAGCTGGCCAGAATTTTCAGGAGTATTCATTTCGCAATGTTTATAGGTGTTGTCGGGAATTGAGGATTCTCGCATAGAATCTCCTGAAGAAGTCAATGGTTGTGATGAAGAGTCAAAGAACGATATTGCGGTGGACGATCCGCCACCACAGAGTGGTGTTGTCACTGATACCCCGTGATGACATATAGCAGTCTACGGGGATGGTCTTCCCTTGCAGATGTATGGCAGGGAAGACCGTCTCGGATTGCATCATTTGAGCGTGATTTTAAGGATGTGTGGTATGACATTTTTGTGATATTTGTTTCCATTCGCTGCTAGTTATGGTCTGGTTTTGACGGAACCATTCTTCGGAAGGGCTTGAGTGGTTATTATCCAGATTTTCACTATCCTATTGTCGCGATTTACTAACGCGATGCCAGAGTTAGAGCGAGATAGGTCGCAAGGGATAGTAGAAAGAGCGTAAGAAACCTTAAGATCTCATTCCCGTGCAGTGTGTCACGTGACGTGACTTGCTGCGGTCACGTACAGTCGCGTGCGCCCTGTGGGTTCTCGTGACGCGCGGAACTGTGATCAGCACACTATAATCCTGTGAAAATGTCTCACGATAGTGAACTTCAACACACGGTACTTGTTGGGGTCATCACTGTTGCGGTGAGAATTCCTTCGCCCGTCTCAAGTGAGTATCGATGTGCATTCAGGTTATTGGTGCTTCTGCGCTGATAGCCCGGCAG